ATACCATACTGTCTTGATGATGACAGCTTTGCGGTAGAGGCTAAAGTCTGGGATGGTGATGCCTCCCATTTTGGTTTTCTTCTTCAATATTACTTTGGCTATTTGGGGTCTTTTGTGGTTCCATACAAATTTTAGAATAGTTTGTTCTAGTTTTGAGAAGTATACTGGTGCAATTTTGATTGGAATTGCATTGAATGTGTAGATTGCTTTGGGTAGTAATGACGTTTTAACTATATTTATTCTTCCTATCCATGAGCATGGAATGTTTTTCCATTTCTTTGTGTCTTCTTCAATTTCCTTCATAAGTTTTCTATAGCTTTCATCATACAGATCTCTTGTATCCTTGGTTAGGTTTATTCCGAGGTATTTTATGGTTTTTGTGCAATTGTGAATGGGATCAGTTTCTTGATTTCTCTTTTTGTTGCTTCATTATTGGTGTATAAAAATGCAACTGATTTCTGTACGTTGATTTTGTACCCTGCAACTTTGCTGAATTCTTGAATCAGTTCTAGTAGGCTCCTGGTGGAGTCTGTCGGGTTTTCTAGCGTATCATGTCGTCTGTGAAAAGTGAAAGTTTGACTTCTTCTTTGCCAATTCTGATGCCTTTTATTTCCTTTCGTTGTCTGATGACTGATGTTAGGACTTCCAGCAGTATGTTAAACAATAGTGGTGAGAGTGGACATCCCTGTCGTGTTCCTGATCTCAGGGGGAAAGCTCTCAGTTTTTCCCCGTTGAGGATGATGTTAGCTGAAGGCTTCTCATAGCTGGCTTTGATGATGTTTAAGTAAGTTCCTTCTATCCCGACTTTCTCGAGGGTCTTTATTAAGAAAGATGCTGTATTTTGTCAAATGCTTTTTCTGCATCTATCAACATGATCATATGGTTTTTATCTTTTCTTTTGTTGATGTGATGGATCACATTGACTGATTTGCAAATATTGAACCAGTCCTGTAACCCAGGAATTCAGCTTCTTTATATTAATATTATCTTACTATATTTTATTCTGTCCTTTTACTCTTAACCCATTTGTTTTCTTATATCTGAATTGTGTTTTTGTAGGCAGTATATAGGTGGTTCTTTTTTTTTTAATCTAATTTGACAATCTATGCTTTTTAATTGGGGATATTTACACTCTTTACATTTATATGATTATTGATATAGTTAGATTTAAAGCCACTTTAAAGCTTGCTATTTGTTTCCTATTTATCACTTTTAATCTTGGTTTCTTTTTTCTCTCTTTCTGCCTCCTTTTGGTTTAATTGAATATTTAGGTTTCCATTTTATTTTCTTTGTTGGCTTACTATCTATAATTCTTTATTTTGTTACCTTAGTTATTGCTTTAGGGTTCATAGTATACATCTTTAACTTATCACATCCAATCTCCAATTGATATTATACCACTTCATGTATAGTCTAATAACCTTACAATGGTATACTTCTATCTCTCCCTTACTACTTTATGCTGATTGTCATAGATTTTACTTTGACATATTTTATAAACCTCATACTACATAGTTTTGTTTGTTTAAACAGCCAATGCCTTTTTTAAAAAGATTTAAATAACAAAGAAAATTCTTAAGTGTTCATCCATATGGTTAATGTTTCTATTGCTCTTTATTCATTTGTGTAGATCCAGACTTCTATCTGGTATCATTTCCCCTCTGCCTGAAGAATATCCTTTAACATTTTCTCAGGGAAGCTGCTAGTTATGAATTCTTTCAACTTTTGTATGTTTAACAAATTCTTTATGTTGCCTTGAGTTTTAAAAGATACATTCACTGAGTACAGAACTCTAGGTTAGTATTTTTTTTTTTTTTGTCTTTCAGTACTTAAATGATATTCTCTACCACTTTACTGATTTCCAAATCATCTCTGCTGAAGGCTGTTCTATCATTTTTAAATGAACACAATATAATAAAGTGATTAGGAATGAAGGTTCCACCTAAGATTAAAAACCACTTTACCACTTATTAGTTCTTTGACCATGGATTAGCTATTTAATGACCTCAGATTTTCCATATATAAAATGGGGATGGTGATAATACCTTCTGTCTTAGGATATCATAAGAATAAAATAACATAACGCAAGGAAATCCCCTACCATAGAAAAAGGCACAGGAGTTAGATATTAAGGGCCTAGGAGGCAGAACTTACATAGAATTGTAGGAAGAGGGGTGCATGGCTGGTTCATTTGGTAGACCATGCAACTCTTGCTATTGGGTTATAAGTTCAAGCCCCACATTGGGTGTAGTGATTACTTTTAAAAATCTTTGGGGAAAAAAAAGAATGCTAAGAAGAGATAGGATTATTTACTCAGAGGAGATAATCTATCAGCTTTTTCTGAGGGACAGTTTATAATAAATTGAAATCTGTAGCAGTGAGAAGATAACTATACAAACTTCATAAGCTCTTGGGTCATTTTGAAACAAATCCATATAAACTGCTAATTTGGAATAGAACAATTCAATAACAATGGACAAACTGCATTGCTGCATCAATTTCAATTTTCCATTTTAGCTTAAATAGACTAACTTAAATTATCCTAACCTCAACCTCATAGCAACATCATCTCAAGCGTTGACTAAGTGTTTTGTTTCTAAGCATCTGTAGGAAATGAGTGTCATGGGTTCTTCCTCTCATGGGGCTCACAACAGGTTGTATTAATGTTGAAAAAAAATAAAAATCTGAGAATATTTGTATATGAACAAAATAATGAGCATCCTTATCCTGTCCAAGTTGGAGAATAAGTATCCCTGTACAAGAAAAAATGTCGCAAAATCTTTGGAATTATTGTGGAGCTCTCATGATGGTTTGTTACTCAGCAACAGGGAAATTTAGTTAATATTCTCCACAAATAATTCCTTTTACAGAGATAGAAAATTTTGTGGGCAGAAGCAAGTATTAATATGGAGGTTTCCTTGTGAGCATACTTACAATACATGTACCAGCTCTCTTATATTTGTCTTTCTCCCAGCCAGAACTTCCCTGCCCCTTTGCTTATCCATTCATCTTCCATCTTACTTACGGCAAGGATGTAAATCTTGCACTAGTCAACAATACCAAAGTATTTTTCAATATGACTTTCTTTGCAGAATGTTTTACCTCTGCTTTCTTGTATTCACACATAGGCTCTTCCTTTCATATGCCTACTCAAATATTACCCATCCTCAAACACTCTTGAAGTTTTCCTTCACTATTTCAGTCCATATTAATCCTCATCACAGTTATAGCCCTTAATTAGAGAAGGCTATTATTTTTTAATAATTATTTCAAGATGGCCTCTCATCTCATCTCAGCCTCTCAGCTCAACAGTACATTCCTCAGGCAGGAACTGTTTTTCGAGGACTTTTGTCTACCTTATTATAAAGTGTGTAGTAGATATTCAGTAAATATTTAAGGAGAGGTGGAGGGATGGATGAAATGTGTTCTGGTGGTGTCTCTCTGTGAATGCTTAATATCAGGATTTATTGACAGTTTCAGCAGTAAGTCCAGACCTTCAATTTCACATCTCTATCATATAAACTTTCATATAAGATTTTACTAACATGAGAAGGTTTAAAGAATGGTATATATCAGTGCTTTCTTTATATATCTATCGTATTTGAACTATGAGTATTAAAAGACACACACACACACACACACACACACACACATACACAAAGGAAAAAGGTAGATGTGAAGGAAGAAAGGAAGAACAGAGAAAGATTAAATGCAAACCAGATAACTCTCAAGGTATTTTAACTGATGACAAAAAAAAAAAAAAAGGACCCTGATGTCAAAATTTTTTAACTGAAAAATTTTCTACTTTTTTTCATACAGATTTCTTCCTGAACGTGCCCTGGCAGCTATACATCATTTACAGAATATTCAGTTTGAAGCAGTGGTTGGCCACAAAACCAAAGGGAAATGAATAAATGCAGCCAGAAATGCACCTTAATGATGTAAATCTAAGTTTAGAATCAATGCTTCAAAGCTTTATTTCACATTTTTCAATAATGTTAATATTAAAAACATTGGTTTGACATTAGCAGCAGCCAAATCAACAAGACTAATTACCTATCTTTCTCAAGAATATTAATGTAGTTTTAACAGTCAGATCTTTTTCATTCTTAAAAACTTCTATGCTTACATAAACATACTTCAAAGGCCATTTTTCTTTAAGAGATTTTTTTTCTTTCTGATTACAGGGGATCAAAGCTACCTCTCTGAAAGTAAATACAAAGAGAACTTATTTACACATGGAAGTTTGAAGACCTTGTCAACATGTACAGAGTGTGAGCTAGCGTTTAGAAACAAGTTTAATCAGACAACTTGCTCCAAAGGACAGAGAGGTTACTTCTGTGAAATTCAACATTTGGAATCTTTCTCTAGTTTCTCCCTTTTTCTTCAGCCCAAAATAGTGCAACAGTATTCTATAGTTTCTTGCTTGATTCTGTCCTTTGTATAGGTCTTATATCCACTAAGAGTGAACCTTCCATACTTTCTGCCTTTTTCATTACCTCTTAAAATACTATGACATTACAAAAGGTGACCCTCTCTTGAATCTCTGAATATCTGAAATTTTAACCTCATGATACCTCTTTCTTTATAGTTTATGCTTTCACATACCATTGAGACCAGAGACGTTTAGATATTTTTGACCTTCAGCATGAAAACTCACACAGGAAAAGGAATTAGGCTGACTAATGATGGATCTGAGAGGAGAAAGAGAAAAAAGAGTGGTCTCTTTTTTTAATATGGAAGAAATTTGATTCCCACCACATTAAGACTATTCTTATTTTTATGTTTTTCTCATATGTAACAGACGCTTTTACATCGACTATCCTCCTGTTTTTATTAAAAACAAATGATTTAAAACAAGCCATTAATAAAAACAATTTATTAAAAACAAATGATAAATATGTTGTGCTTTTAAAAAATAACCTCTTGTGGTTATAAAATAGAGTTTTCATTTCTAATCTCTGAGTCTATGAATCTCCTTCAGGAAGCAAGGGTCTATATAGTAATATCACCCATATATTAAAGGGTTTCTCAACTTTGGCTTCTTTGATGGTAAGAGTGTTGGTTCATCAAATGACTTACTGAATCCTTTCTATGTGTGGCCCCGAGGAGAATATGATTGCTGTGAGATGTTTTTTTTCCTTGTTACTTTGGCAATAATTTTTGTTCATGATGATATTTTAATTTTTTTTGCTTTAAAATTAGGAACTTTAGAGATGCCTGAGTGGCTCAATTGGTTGAACATCCAACTGTTTATTTCACCTCAGGTCATGATCCCAGGGTTGTGGGATTCAGCCCCATATTGGGCTCCATGCTAAGTATGGAGCCTGCTTGGGATTCTCTCTCTGTTTTCCTCTGCATGCACTCTCTCTCTCTCTCTCTCTCTTTAAATTTTTAAAATAATAAAACAATAAAATTTTTAAAAATAAAACTAAGAACTTTATGAGTGAAACTTTAAAATGTATTATTTTAGGGGTGCCTGGGTGGCTCAGTCAGTTAAGCATCCAACTTCTGCTCAGGTCATCATGATTTGTGGGTTTGAGCCTGCCATTTGAGCTCGCTCCAGAGCCTGGAGCCTGCTTCAGATTCTGTGTCTCCTCTCACTGCTCCTCCCCCACTGATGCTCGCTCTCTCTCTCTCTCTCTCTCTCTCTCAAAGATGAATGAACATTAAAAAAAAAAAAGTGTAATTACAGAGGGTGCCTGGATGGTTCAGACTCTTGATTTCAGATCAGGTTGCTATGATTGTGGAATTGAGCCCCCCTTGGGTTCTGTGCTGACAGTACAGACCTGCTTGAGATTCTCTCTCTCCCTTTTTCTCTGTCCCTCCCCTGCTGGTTCTCTTTCTCTCTCTCTCTCTAAATTAATAAATACATAAACTTTAAAAATAAATAAAAGTGTGATTATAAAAATTCAAAAGAGAAATATGGAAAGTAGAAAATATAAGCCTATCTCCCACAGTGGAATTGCCCCATCCACACCCCACTCCAGGTGCCTCCTTGAAATAGCTCAATCTGCAAGCAGCTCCAAAAGTGACCAGTGTCACTTCTTCACAGAAGAGAGGGAAAGATAACCACACATCACTTTGAGAGCAGCCCTAGCAGTGGGCTGGGTGCAGATACCTGATCGGACTGCCAGTCCACTCACCACAAGAAGCTTACAGGGGACAGTACAGGGAGAGAGTCCTGTAGGTCAGAGTCACCGAAATCCCAACAGACAAACTGGGAGAAGATATCTGGTCTAACTTCAGGCCCTGTCCATCAACAAAAACCTTTCAAAGGACAACCCAGAAGGATGCACTGCAGTTCAGTGCAACCATAGCCCTGGCAAACAGATTGAGGGCAGACACATGGTCTGACCCAACTACAAGCCTAAGGTGCCCCCAGATTGGCCCCTCAACAGCACAGGGACCAAATCCTGCCCATGACAGGCAAAGTGGGCCATTGCAGCCAACTAGACTGAAAGCAAACATGGCTCAGCCAACAACAGTAGAATGCTAGCCACACACAAGGGAGACACCCCTGAAACATCTGGTTCTGGTGAACTGGGGACACTGCCCAAGACCTCTTCTTCATGAGGCCACTACTTTCAAGATTAGGACATGTAGCTAACTGTCCTAAGATATAGAAACAAGAGTGAGAGAGTGCGCATGCAAGCAGGGGAGAGGCTGAGAGGAGGGAGAGAGAGAATCCTAAGCAGGCCCCACACAGTCAGGGCAGAGCCTGACACAGGGCTCAATTTTACAAACCATGAGATCATGACCTAAGCCAAGATCAAGAGTCAGATGCTTAACTGACTGAGCCACCCAGGCACTCCCATTCTCACCACTTTTATTCAACCTAGTACTCAAAGCCCTATCTTCAAGAATCAGGAAAAAAATAAATAAATAAAAGGCATCCAAATTGATAAGGAAGAAATTATACTGTGACTATTTGCAGATGACATGATACTATTTATTGAAATGTTAAAGACACCACCAAAAAACTGCTAGAACTAAAAATGAGAACTAAAAAAACCCTAAAAATAAAGCGGCAGAAAGAGAAATTAAGAAACACAAGCTTATTTACTATTGCACCAAAAAGAATAAAACACCTAGGAAGAAACTCAACCAAGAGGTGAGAGACATACACTTTGAAAACTACAAAATTTTAATTAATGAAATTGAAGATAACACAAATGGAAGGATACTCCATGCGCACGGGTTGGAAGAACCAATATTGTTAAAATGTCCATACTACCCAAAACAATCTACACATTTAATGTAATTGCTATCAAAATACCAAAAGCATTTTTCAGAGAACTGGAACAAAAAAATCCTAAAATTTATATGGAACCACAAAAGACCCAAAAATAGCCAAAACAATCTTGAAAAAGAGCAAATCTGGAGGTATCACAATTCCAGATTTCAAAATACATTACAAAGCTATAGTAAACGAAACAGTATGGTATTAGTGCAAAAATAGACACATAGATCAATAGAACACTATAAAGAGTCCAGAAATAAACCCACAATTAAATGGTCACTTAATCTACAACAGTGAAGGCAAGAATATGTAATAGGAAAGGATAGTCTCTTCAACAAACAGTGTTGAGAAAACTGGACAGCTACATGAAAAAGAATGAACCTGGACCATTTTCTTAGACCATACACAAAAACAAACTCAAAATGGGTTAAAGACCTAATGTAAGACCTAAAACCATAAAACTCTTAGGAGAAAACATAGGCAATAATTTATTTGACAGTGGCCATAGAGACATTTTTCTGTCTCTATGCATGTCTCCCGAGACAAGGGAAACAAAGCCAAAATTAAACTATTGGGATTATGCAAAAAAAAAAAAAAAAAAAAAAAAAAATTTGTGCAGTGAAGGAAATCGTCAATAAAACAAGAAGGCAACTTACTAGATGGGAGAAGATATTTGCAAATGATATATCCAACAAGGGGCTCATATCTAAAATATATAAGGAACTTTAACTCAACACCAACAAACCACAAATAATCCAAGGGAAAAAAATGGGCAAAAAACATGAGTAGACATTTTTCAAAAGAAGACATACAGATGGCCAATGGACACATGAAAGAATGCTCAACATCACTCATCATCAGGGAAATGCAAATCAAAACCGCAACGAGGTATCACCTCACATCTGTCAGAATGGCTAAAATCAAAGACAAAAAGCAGTAAGTGTTGGTGAGGATGTGGAGAAAATGAACCCTCGTGCACTGTTGGTGGGAAGGCCAACTGTGCAGCCACTCTGGAAAAGAATATAAAGGTTCCTCAAAAAGTTAAAAACAGGGGCGCCTGGGTGGCTTAGTCGGTTGAGCGTCCGACACTCGCTTAGGTCATGATCTCGCGGTTCGTGGGTTTGAGCCCCGCGTAGGGCTCTGTGCTGACTGCCGGCTCAGAGCCTGGAGCCTGTTTTTTAGTCTGTGACTCCCTCTCTCTCTGACCCTCCCCTGCTCACGCTGTCTCTCTCTCTCTCCTAGAAATAAATAAAACATTTTTTTAAAAAAGTTAAAAACAGAATTTCCATATGATCCAGTAATTCCACTACTGTGTATTTACCTAAAGAAAACAAAAACACGGATATGTTTATTGCAGCAGCATTATTTAGAATAGCAAACATATGGAAGCAGTCCAAGCGTCCATCAACTGATGAATGGATAAAGAAGATGTGGTATACATATACAATGGAATATTACTCCACCATAAAAAAAGAATGAAATCCTGCCATTTGCAACAACTAGATGAAGCTAGAGTGTGTAATGCTAAGTGAAATAAATCAGAGAAAGACAAATACTATATGATTTCAGTCATATGTGGAATTTAAGAACCAAAACAAAGGAATAAAGAGTAAAAGAGACAAACAAATTAACCAAACTCTTAAATTCAGAGAACAAACTGATGGTTA